CCTATGAAACGTTGTGAAGGGAAAGGTAATGAGTTCAAATGGTTGATAAACATTAAAAGAAATTGCATACTTTGAAGTCGTTGACTTTCATGAGTTTGATATGTGCTCTTAACCTACAAGTTGCTTAAGAACTGCTGAGAAAAGCAAATATTACTCGATGGACCCTGCCAGAGCCCTATGCAATTACTCCAAACGCCAAAAGTTAATCAAAAGTTATCGAGCACGATCGGGGCAGGCTCATTTGCATATCACTTCCGAATTAGCATATCAGCGCGCGCAAAAAGCACTTTTCACCTCCGTTGTATATACTAAGAACACTTAGATCAGTACATATTTACAAATGATTGGATCAAAAAATTATCATGCGCTATCAATGCATTCAGGGGCTGGTCTTTATCACGGGGGAAGGGGGAAGCATCGAAAGTAATTAAAAGATTATCAGAAGGTTCTATAATTTTCTTATGACCCCACTCGTTGGCAATTCATTTTCCATAGTCCCCACGCCCCTCTTAATACTCTATTGGCGGCAACTTTTCCCTCCTCTGTCCCCCCTGTAATCCATGTTTCCCCACCGATCCTCCATCCCATCCCTCAGGCTACAATTAACGACAGGTCTGTTAGAACATGCACAGTATAAACCTTACCTTTAAAAGCAATGTGAAAGTCGTTTCTTCCTGATCAGCGAAGTTACTACTTCTTTCGCTCACAACAGAGATGTCGTGCTTGTTCAGTTCACAAGTTCCTTCAATGCTTTTCTTCTTGAGAGACAACTTGAAGTTGGTGCAACTACACCAGGTGTTTCTCAGACATTCTTGACCGCACGATAACAAACTGGGTGAGTCAGACCGTTTGAAAATGTATCCTTTGAGCCTCTTATTGTTAAAGGTTACGAAATAGGAAAAATGAGAATTTCTGGAGTAGCCATCGGCGAACAGACGTGCTGTAGTTCGCATCAGTATCAACAACACAGCTGTTTTCTGCGCAGCCATGACTGTTGGTTAGACGAAGCAATCTATAGAAGGCCTATTATGCTTGGATTATATCCCGCCCATCTTTCATTTGAACTAATTGTTGGGTCTGAATGTCTTCAGGTCTTTGTTCAGGTCAGCCTTTCTAAACAGATATTTTGCTAAGGGGAAATTTAACAGGAAATGAAATAAATGCTTAGAAGAGTTTCGCGAAGCTAGACAAACAAATAATTCATGCGAAATCGAATTAAAAAAAATTAAATTAAATATATCATACACCAGACCACACGTTATAAAGTTTAGAAAAATTTGAAATAAACAACAACAGGTGAACCGTTAAAAAAAATATTTGAGACGTAACCAAGGAAGTATGGTAATCCATATGATAATTAACAATTATTCCACGAGCACGCGTAGGATATGAGATGATAGATAGCCAACGAGACGCGTAGCGCCAAGTTGGCTGTATTCATCTCATATCCAACAAGCGCGAGTGTAATAATTGATTTATTAAAAAAAAACGCCCCCAAGATATTAGTCAAATGTCCTCGACTTTATTTTGTAAAATGAAACCGGATGTTACAATGTACAGATATTAGATTATGGTATATTGGCTCATATACCATAATGGCTAAGCCAATCAAAAGTCTTGAATTGCATTATCCAATGATCCAGTTTTGCATTATCCAATGATCCAGTTTTTAATAATGTCTGAAATACAATAGTCATACCTTAATTAAAAAGGAAACAAACAGACACAGTTTGGAAGGAACTTTGATAGATCGTTGAGATGGAGTCTATAGATGGTTGGATTTACAACTAGTAGCTCAATGTGAAAGTGGGTGCCTGTGTCAGAGCTGGAAGGAAATACTGATAGGACGATTTGAAATAAACAGTATAATAAGGGTTGGTGTGGCTTTTTAAAAAAAAATTACGGTTTTTTCCCGACTAGTTTAGTTTTAAAGGGCTTTTGCGAAACAGCAACAGAGCCCCAACTTTTTTTTCTTGAGTTGAGGAAAGAACGTTTACTCAAATGGAAGCATTTTTGCCTATCACGTCACTGCTGCTAAATGCACTGAGAAAAAAATGATCTCAATGAAGTATAATATCGGCAAAAATTGCTCACATAATAGGGCAGCCATCAGGGTAATCCATATGATAATGTCTGTAATACAATTGTGATAACTTAATTAAAAAGCAAACAGACAGACACATTTTGGCAGGAACTTTGATAGAT